GATGCAAAAATTACTAATTAGTAAATGAATTTACATGTTTTTATATTGTATCACATTAGAAAATTACAAGTACAGAGATTTACGAGGGGTTTTGACAGTGTGATTGTGTGTATGTGACAGCTTGTTGTGTCTACACTAATTTGTATACAAAAGCTGCGTAATGGTGAAAATTCTACCGTGTAATGATATGCGTGATATTTATGTATCTCTCTATGCTACAAGAAAAACGTACAAATACACTCACTGAGCAAGCTTTGTGAGTCGATACATAACAACAAACATTTCAAAACAGAAACATAAAATGGTAAAAGATAGAAAAGCCCAAACCAATGAGAGGCAGTGCTTTATAATACGTATTAGCGACATACTAAATGTTCTGGTTGAATACATCGTGATAATGAGAAAAATAATTAAAGAAATGAAAGAGAAGATTACAAAGCACACAGATAGCTCTCTGCAAAACTGAAAAGGTTAGAAATCAAACTTTGTCTTGTTACTCACCAATTATAGAACGTAAGTCCATGCACGCAGGCATTTACATGGCAAAGGAACGGGGCAAGATTGGGGGTAAAATATGCACAAAAAATGTAAGCAGTTAAAGACGAACCACAGACAAAATTAATACGACTGTTCTTCGCTCGTCAACGGATAAATAAATAAATCAAAAAGATGATGAGATGGTTAATTAATGCATGAGAGTTTGTAACATATCCAATGCATGACGTTACTGCAGCACGGGAAGCAAATATGGCAGTCGGTTTGTATTCCTATATTCCATGACAGCTAGGCCTTATCTCAATGTGATGTCAACATGTATTGCACAGATGGACGGACGAATAGCACACAAGACAGATTTAATTTCAATTTCATTGTTATCAGGTGCCAGCAGCGTGTGGTATTGTTTCTATACAGGACAGCATACATCATATGGTGTCTATGGCCCTGTATTTCTTTTCTCTTCCTCGCTGCTGCTACAGCTTATTATTATTAGCTGTGGATGGATGTATACTAAAAAAGCGCTGTGTGAAACTGAACAGCTGGCACGGAATTAATCTCTGCATCTGTGTACGTGTAACGTGTAACAAACCATTATTTACTCTATCATATTTCTTTCAGGGTGACATTTGCAGGTAGGAGTTTGTGTAGAGTGTAGCGTGCAGGTCTAACGGTAGTGCTTTTTATGGTGCTTCAAATTCAATCACAGTTCCAAAGTCTATGTATGATTTATACTGGGGGGTTCTAAAGCCATTACTTTTCGGAATCACGTCATAAGTTGGTCACTAAAGAGTTGGAAATGAAAGGGGAGGGTTTGGGTACTCGTGCATGCATGCATGCAGCTACTTCACATTCACTCTCATACACCAAGTAAAAGTGACCTACATGTATGAACCAAGACTGAAGAACGACAATGAGGAAAAAAAAATCATAATTTCTCCATGATAAAAGTAAAGAAAATAAATACAAAAGTGTTACTTCACATCAGTATACTTTAGTGGATAGTGAAATATCTTTTTAACATTGCATGTATACATATAAACATATAAAATGCTACATGTACTTTCAGTTTGTGACCTAATGTTCCTATCATAAACCAATGACTCTTCTTTACTTCATATTTTTTGGATTGCATCTACACATGTAATAAATACAAGATTTTTATCAATCTGCATTTGAACTTAACAAAACCTAAAATGAAAATGTGAGCTTGTTTTGTTTCTTGCTGCAGGTGTATAGCATTACATATAATCTTTTAAATCACATCTCATTAAAATGTGTAATATTGTATATGATGTAGAGTGATAAACCAAGTGTGAGTGCAGAAAGATTGCGTGTAGAGAGTAATGCTAACATTGTACAGAACTGAAGAGGGCAGCATAACATACACAACTGTTTGACATATTGAGGTTTAGGTAGGTGGTTGGAGTTATATTTTTTTTCAATTTTTGTGAGTGTCTTGGGTAAAACAGCACTGGAATTTTTGATATGATATATGAAGAAATTCCTAATCCAATCAATAAAGTAATAATTCCCTTTCAAGTATACTTTATTAAATTTTGAACAAATTCACCTAAACTTAAGGGATACTAACAAAGAGGAAAGAAAATACAGAGGTACTTTAAAAACACTTTTGGTGTAGATTTGTGACATAATCATCAAATTGATTGGAGACAATACATGTACATGAAAGAAGTATTATCAATGTGCCGGGATAAAATAACAATGGTCTTACACTTTAAAATTCTTCTTTAAAATGGACAAGAAACTAAAGTGAACGGATAATGCCATTCTGGCATTGAAAGTTGAAGTGTAGAGAGTAGGACTGGAATATATTGTGTTGTGACAGCTGTGTAAAAGAAATGTGTAAAAAGGTGTTGTAATATGAAAAAAACCAAATCACATTGACACAACTCTCTGTATATTTGACAAATTGACTAATACATCAATCCTATGAATACATCGTATATGCAAAAGCATTTAAATTAAATAATAGTAATAAACAAAATAAAAAATAAATAAAAAATAAAAAACACTTATCCAGGACAGACATCTCTAAAGCAAGAGCTAAAAAGACAGATTTTACACCTTACAAAAAAATACATACCGGTAACTTCTGGAAACATTAATATGAGAGAGGGAAAGAAATAATGTGCTTATATACAGCTACATTTGTAAAAAAGGAAACCTATGTTTATCGTTCATGAAATGATCCTCATTTTGACATCGGTAAAATATATGGGCAATTAATCTTGTCATAACACGATGGGTCTGCCAAACTATTATCTCATGTTTACACAGAGTTTCTGCAAGTTATCAATCATATAAAGATTACAAAACATAATTGCACTTTGAGAAAAAAAATTCCCTGGGTTTGCACACATACATTCAATCCAAAAATTGTTGGATACAAGACTTCCAAATCAAAGAAAACAGTTCTTAACCTTTTCCATGCCATGAGAGGCAATTCTACCCAAAAAATGTTCAATGGTGTACTACATATATCGGCTAAGAATAGCTATGTTTTTCTTTCTGAAAAATAAACAAGAATGGTACAGGAGTCATGCCAATGTGATTTAGTTATTCAGTGATACTTAGCGAGGGTGTAAAAAGTAAAAGATATAGAGATATATACAGGTAAGAAAGAACTGAAGTGGTGCAATTCACTGTACCTTCAGAGGGGGATAATATGGATGGAAAAGGGAAAGTTTCTCTAGCCCCGGCCAGGGCGGTGCACCATTCATACTTCTGGGCTGGCGGGCAAACTTTCAAAAATGTCAGGAAACGTTATAAGAAAGATCAAGTTGAATTCAGATGTATAAAAACATTTGGAGTATTAAAATTCATGGTTAAAGTGTGCATTGTGCATTCAGCTAAGACTGACAGTCAAGCATTCTGAAAGTAATTTACACTCAAACGTTGGGATTTAAACTAAATAGAAATTCGAATAATCTATTAAGATGGAGCATTACACCATTTGTTTGAAATTAATAAAAAATTGAAGTGGGAAAGGGAGGATCATTTTTACAAGTGAACGAATGACAATGATTAAAATTGTAGAAGATTTCAGTTGTCGACATATACATGTGTACATGTACATATAGAATTGGATAAATTACATCTTGTTTTATTTTATTTACTTTGTACAGAATTATTGTTTTATCAAAATTTGTTGTATAACATTATTTATTTTTCCTTAATGATGTACAGCATCATATCATATATTCCATTTTTTCCAGCTGTTCAGTGGATGTAAATTCTTTCATCTATGTAGGCTATTTAAACTACTTACAAAGAATGATGTTGCGACTTGTGTAACAAAACTTGATTAATATGAGAACATGTTTGGAAAAGGAATTGAAAATGAGCAATGATATACAAAACATGCAAACAATCACTGCAGACAAAATGTCAAAGGTTAGTCATGCAGTATCATGTGTTCAACCGTGTTCAACCTTTGCGATTAAATTGATACTGGTAATTATGAAGTGTTGGGTGTAATGTATGATTCACATGGTCAAAGGCAACTATATACAGAGTTGGGCCAATGTGATTCGAGTTGGGCACAATATGGCAAACATTGCTTCATGTGGCAAGCACACAACAAAAGAAATTTGCCAAGTTGTGACCAAATAATACCAAATTGGCCGAACTCTGTGCATACTGGTAGATGGTTGTCAGTGGTAATGTCATAGCTCCCTCTAGTGGCCAAAACCTTACACTGATTGTCATTATGTTTTGAGGATACCATACTGTCAGTGACTGCAGCCTCATTTGGTAATTTGGAAACATGAATATATTAAAAATAATTAGACATAAAGTTATGAATTAAATCATTTTAAAAAAAATTCAATTCCACAAATCAATTATCTCTAACAGTAATAGATCAACATGAAATTATATTTTATTGTTAAATTTAACTTGTTACATTATGATAAATCTTGTCCCATTCATGCTTCACGTGATATTCCCGACATACCGGAAGTATTGATAGTTTTAGTGTATATATGTACATGCATCTTTCTATGTGTGAATATGTTTACAGTTGCATTATTTTTAAGAGGGAATGGGGTTGGGGATTTGTTGAAAAGGGGAAAGGTTGGGGATTCACTAAAGGCTGGGTCCAGAGAGAGTGTGACTATTGAAATGCAAGATGCAGTGCTATTCAGAGGGGCTACTCACTCACACAAGCACTGCAACACTAGCATTTGTTTAATTGGCATGAAGACAAATACTGTTATTTCACATTTAATCAGTTGTTTTAAATGCATTCCTAAAATGCAGATTAAGGTAATGTTGAAATACGATTTGACATGTCCAGTTTGTTGAATCATATTCCCACGATTCTTCATTCAATCAGTCATGACATTTGTGAAATTTCATTTAATTAGGCCAAGAATTTATGATTTTAATTTTTAAGTCGTGCAAAATTGAGGGTGGCTGATGTGCTACTGCGTCCTGACATAGATAGATAGATAGACATTTTTGTCTTCTTCCAGTGATTCAAAATTCTTTTTTGGGTTCAAATCCCTAAAATGTATAAATAGGTGATGCAAACTGTAAAGTAGGTTTAAAGTTCAGGAATTGCCACTAATGACATGATTTAAGTGACCAAAATCTGACCAAAACAAAAATAATTTCTCTCACACATGTAAACAAAATTAATGCAAATTATTTCCTTCTTCAAATTTTTAACATTTTTCAGGAACATATCTAGTACAGACCTATTGAAAGACACTATACAGGCTTTACATGTAACTAATATATCTTGGACAATGTTCACAAATTCGAATCGACAAGGAAATAGCATGTAAAATTGACATTATTCTGTCTGTTCATGTCAAATGTGAATACAAACAAACATTGAATCTTTTGTTTCTTTTGTTGATGAAAATGCTACACAGCAATAATGAAATAATATTCAATCTATATCATTTTCTTGGAGAAAGATATTAAAAGTCAGCGGAACTAAAATAGAGCGCACAAATACATGCATGTCAATTAGAAAATTCAGAGGATTATCAAAGCAAACTGAATTACAAAATGAATTATTGAATGCTCAAATAGGGTGCTTTTCAGACACAATAAACAGTAAAGTTCATATTTTTCATGTTGATAATAGAAGCATCGTGGGAGTAATATTGGAATTATTAAGAATCCGTCTCTTACCTTCTCTTATTTTTCCCGTCGTGGGAGGCAAATCAGGAGCCTTTGAGAAGGAAAGACAAATAGAAAAGATAGTCAAAGTAGAGATTATAAATATCCGTTCTGACAACACCTACAATTCCCCACTTCTGTTCATACGTCAACTCAAGATAATCTGAGGATGACGTGTTAGGAAATGACTTGCAATTCATATCGACCTGACATTTTGGCATTAAACAGTTCAGTTTCATAATGGTCAACTGATCATACATAATCATATACATAAGGATAAGATATATGAAATGGTGCTTATGTATCAAAAGAGAAATCAGAAATATAAAATGTCTGGATATGCAATGATGGAAAGACATCAGCATTAATTTTTTTTTGTATAGAAACATGTTTCCACTTTTCCATCATATAGAAGCTAGGTTTTTGGATACCTCACGGCTCATGCAGGGCCACTCCCCCTACCCCCCCCCCCTGCGCTTTGTCAGAAAAAAATCATTATAAGCTGTACCAAATGACTGGATATTAGATGCCATTTTAATTTCTTTTAGAGAGGAACATTTTGCAAGAATCTTTTGAAAAGGAAACAGGTTGTTTTGCCCACCTCACAGCTGGTGGGGGGGGGGTGATTCCCCAGCCCCCCCCCCCCTCTCCAACATGGACGTTGAGACAAATTAATATCATATTTTTTAATTCCATGCTTTATTGATCCTTTTCATTGCGAATAAAATATAACACAGTATCAACAGATAATGGATCACATGATGAAATATAGCTCATGTTGATGCACTCCTGTCTAACAATACCAAATGGCTATGCAAACTCTCACGTGAATCTAGAAACAAAATACCCTTGAAATTATATCATTGCAAAACAAATGCTTTTAGAATCATTGCCTAATCAATTATTCATATCATATGAAAAGTTGGCATTTCAGCTTTGTGTATGATTCAATGTACATGCGAGGAAATTATACAGAGATAGGTTTCATATCCTGCAGGCTCAAGGTCAGGATTCCATGAATTTTATATTAAGAGCTCCCCGATCGTGAAAGCCAAACACATGTTAAATTCACAGAAGGTGGCAATGTCATAATAGTCAGATAGTGTCCCAAAAAATGGTGGCCTGTGGGTTGTTCACATATGACAAGGAAAACGCTAGAACTCATTTTTTTAATTTTTTTAAAATATAAATGAAAGGCAAGCAGGATGAAAAAGAATAGCTGCATACAACAAAGAACCTACATGTACCAAATATCTGGGAGTTATTAAGGACGTTTCTTCTAAGCTGTAAAACATTAGAACACCTCTCATGACATTTTCAAATGCAGTATAATATGTAATATGTAATCAGAACAATAAGAGAACAATAAAATAAGATGTAAATGCCCCTCAGATGACTGTAAACCAGAGATTTTAAATGCAATAAGCCTTGAAAGATTCATGCCTTCAAGAGATTTGGATTCTTGCAATTCACAGAAGTTTCTTGCGGCGTAAAAAAGCTGTTTATAAAATTATTGTGAGGTTTGTATCACAAAAGTTTCTGGTTAATACATTGTACAGCAGTGATCAAATGGGAAGAATATTTAGCACTCTGCACTGGTGATGAACAATGAATCAGAGGATATGAATATGACTACCCACATAATATATTCCTATAAAAACGGTTCCCTGTATTGTAAAGAGTGGCGATCGATTCAAATCAATCGCAACTGTTTACCTTAATAAGGGACAGCTAGGAGTTGAGATTAATTTCAAGTTGCACATGTCACATGTTCCTGTAACACCTGGACTTTGTTTGGGTATGACTGGTTGTACGACACATGCTCCTCCCAACAGTTGCCCTGCAATAATTTCCTACACTAATTGAAATCCCAACTTCAACCCTGAACCCAACCCTATACTTAACCCTAACCCTAATCTAAATTCCAATAGCAACCCTAACACTAACCCTGTAGTTTTGACACAACAAGCTGGAACAACTGTTGTCAAATGCAAATATCGGATAACCATTACACAACAGAATCCCATTTTATTACTTGTAACTTTGATGAGTTTCGCTAGAGGTCAAGATATGCTAAAGTTTAGAGAACAAAATCAATGAAATAAAAAAAATAAAAAATCAATTTTGCAAAAGCTGCTCGCCACTAGACTGGCTTTCTGGATACAGAGTACGTGTTTATTTGTTTGTGGTCACTCACCCGCATGGTCTCTGGCTCCTTGGGCTGCGGCCTGTTTGTGAAGTCTGGCGCCCCCATTTTCTGCTCCGGCTCCGACATGAGTCCTTTGTCTTCGTCTTCTCCTTCCTCATCGTCCTCGTTCCTTACGTAGCACTGTGGGTCTCGTCGCTTCATGTACTCCTGGCGCTGCTGGACATGGCTGCGACGCATCTCCTCATTCCTACAGTCCAATACAGGGGGAATCAAGCAACAACAAAAATACCCACTAATAATTGCACTTCAGAATTTCCTGTAAATTGTCTTTAGCACGAGTAACAAAAAACAAAAAAAGTTCATTGTTCACAGAACCTCACAAATTTACACTTCTGTATTGAACAGAATATGTATAATAACAGAAAAAAATTGAGGATATCTAACCTAATAAGAATACAGATACACAGAGCTGCCAACCTTGTGTGACCAAAAAAAGGAATCATGATGGCACAAAAAAGGAATTCATAAAAACGAAACTTACAACCACACGCGGGACACTTCCAATGCAGAAATGTTCATTCCTCATGCTGTTTTTTCCATACAAGCAGGTTTTTTTGTTTTGGTTATTTTGGTATTATCGGCATTTCATTCTTTTTGAGAATATTTTTCTCTTCAAGTATGTTTTAAAATTAGTTTTCTATTTTCCATTTTAGGACAGTTGTTTGACGTGTGGTAAGTAAAAAAAAATATTTAAATTTTTTTTTTTAAATTTAAAAAAAAAAAAATTGTAAAAATTATGAAAAACCATATTTTATGAAGAAAAAACGGAGTAATTCCGGCAAAAACGGAATGGTTGGCAGCTCTGGATACATGTTCAATTCCAAAGCACAGGATCAGTGCCTGGTATTTGGTTTACATTTCAGTAGACTAAATATATTAGATTCAGTATATCTTACATGATCCCCTAGAATGGACAGTTTTTAATGAAGTATAATAGGAAATGATGCATATTACATGCAGCATTCCTATAGAACTGTTGTAATTGGTTATCACTTCATCAACAATACATATACAGTCACACCTGCTTTAGCAACCACCTGTCTACAAGAAGCACATTTTTTGTTTCCCTTGGAAATGGTTTCTCATTGAAACATGAACTAAAGGAACCTGTACATAAAGACCACCTGTCTATAAAGGCCCCTTTTCTTGTCTCCCTTGGGTGGTCTTTATAGACAGGTTTCACTGTAGTTATAATTTCAAGATTTCAAATCTTACCGTCTTCTCCTGTCTTCGAGGACTCTTGATTTCTTCTGATCTTCTTCATGTCTCCTAGCAGCATCCGGTTGCCTAATCCACACCGGTATCTCCTCAGGAGTGTAGAATGATGGCGTCTTCATCAGCTTTGATTTGCTGCTGTTGAGGGCGCTATGCAGCTCTTTCATGGCAGCATCAACGTCTACTTGTTCCGTGGGAGTGGCATCAGGCTGCTGGCTATACTGCTGAGGTGACACAGGAGAAGTATTCTGGTAGTAGTCCTCAAGAGGTCTCTTCCTGTACATTGGTGAGGAGTAATCTTGCTCGAAGGAATGACTGGGTGTGATGGTAGTGTTGGGTCTTTGTTGGTACACAGGCTCGCTTCCATCTTCTTCTGCATCTGAGAACTGGTCTGCCTCTGGATGTAACTGTTGGGGTTGGGCAGCACTCAAGTTGAGGGTACTCTCACCAATACCAGCATGCCCCGCCAAACGGAAACCTACGGCATCGTATTCCAAGGGGCTGAGTTTTGGAAGGGGTGGTTGGCCTTCGTGAGGAGTGGAAGATGTCGTACTAGAGGTGTCTGATGTTACAGACTGGGATTCCTGAGGCAGCTCTTGTGGCTCTTCCTGAGGTTTCTTGTAGGAGTTCCTCAGGTTTGCCAGCTCCCTCTCAGCAAGCTGGGAGAGGAGACTGCTATTCATGCCTGGTCCTCTTGGTCCAATCCCACCCAGGAGGTTTCCTCCTTGGGTCCCTAGCTCTTCTTTGTTATCGGTCTTCTGATTCACTTCTGCTTCATTCTCCTCATCTTCACTGGAGCTACGATTTGCAAGTTCATAGCTGCTCCTTCTTCCTCTGCTACTACTACTAAATTCATCTACATCACCCGAGGGGCTCTTTCCTTGCCTGTTCTTAATCTTGATTGGACTTGGTTTAGCATCTTTCTCCTCTAGGTAGGCTCCACACTCTGCGATATCGTCAAACACAACTTCTCCCGATGTAGTATCTGATTTCTCTTCAATTTCATAGGAGTACCTCTTACTAGGGTCATGTTGTCTGGAGTTTGGTCGAGACCTCCTCACCACTGCATCAAGGTCGAGATGGTTAGCGTTTGAGTTATTCCTGGGTTGTTCTCTTTGGCCAGGTCTAGCAGATCTCATCTTTTCAGGAGAAGAACTGGGACTTCTGGACATTTCCCTGCTTGGAAGAGATTCTTGACTGTACTTCATTCTGTGCGTTGGGCTGGTCTGATTTGGAGGTCCAGCTGAGCTTAATGATGAGACAGAGGCATATTCTGCATTATGTCTGTTGGACAACGAGCCATCTCTCGGACTCTCCACTCCTCCGCCCAATCTCTTTGGATTACTATTATGAGTTCTGTTCATTTCTGGCTGTATCGAAGTGGAAGCTAGATTCTTTTCAATTTCATACATTTCTCTTAATTCTTCCCTTAGTCGTGTTTTAAGTACTGATACTGGTTGGGCTCCTCCTGGGAGAGGCATAGTCCTCTGCCTCTCACCACCAGCCAACCTTCTGGAACCCTCTGTCTTTATTCTGCTCTCCTGCATGCCTCCTCCTTCCCTGGGTGCTTTTGCCATTGGTCTAGAGCTTCTCTGAGATGTGAATTCACCTTTGCCTGTATTATCTCTTTCATTTTCAATTTCTTGCCTGCCCGGTGATGGGGTCTTATGATGAGGCACTGGAGCAATGTCCCTTGGACTTTGTTGATGGATAACCTTACTGCTAGACATTACTGCAGGGTTCCTCTGAACGCTTTGTGCGGCACCTGGAGCAGGTCTACGTGGGACTTTATTGCGAGATTCCTTGGTGTCTCTGACAGGACTACTAGGTGGCTGTGGACTTCTTCTAGGCTGTACCTGTCCCTGTATCATTTTCTCAAGACCAGTTTCCATCCTTTCCTGACTACCTGGTTCTGCCCTCAAAGCATCCCTAGACTCCCCTAGATCATCTAACCTAAATGGATGAGGTTTTGCCTCGTCCCTTTGGTTCCTCAATCTGTCCTGTAAAATATCCAGTGACAAAATCTCAGATTTCTTATCACCTGAACTTGTGTTCCTATATTCAAAGTCTTCCTGCTGGACAAGCAGTTGGTCTTCTTGATCGGCCTCTGCAGAATCACTGGCTGCATATCTTGAGTTCTCTTCAGGAGCAAGAGTATCCCTGTCAACAATCACATAATCACCCGTCATTGGGGAATGTTCACCGATTCTCAAATTTTCAGAATCACTGTACTGATCAACATGTTCCTTATTTTCTTCCTCGTCTTCAAACTTCCCATCTTCTTTTGATTCTTCATTGGACTTATTACCTGAAGCAGGAATATGATCTGGCAAGTCGGACTCGGTGTACTCTTGAAAAGCTGCACCCTTTTCCCTAAATTCTTGATCCGCTTCATAGTCCTGTTCACTCCCATTGTAAGCAGGATTATCTTCCACATATTGGCGTTTTTCCGAATAGGACTGTCTTTCCATGTAGCCCCCGTCCATATAACCATACCTGATGTCCACCTCCTCAAACCTATCTTCACCTTCTGCGTGATCTTCTTCCGCTTCGTACCCCTGCATGCCCCCTTCACCGTCCATCATGCCATTATCGTCCACCACACCGCTGTCTTCGTACTGGTCATCGCGGTCATACACCACACCCCTGTTCTCCTGGGTCACATCATCAAGGTAATCTTTGTCCTTATCACTTTCAGTCAGGTCATCCCTGATCTGTCCCTGTCCGCTGTCCTCGGTTCCTTCCCTTGTGCCATCGTCTCCTTCAGAGTACTGATATGTTGACCCGAACCCAATCCCCTGCATACCGGTTTCATCTTGATCGATAAAGAAGGTATCCCCATACTCATCCTGCCCATCCTCCTCAGGTGACAGCGGTTGCTTCGGCTCCATCCTTGCATCATCCGCATTCTCATGGTGGCCGTTCCATTCATCCTCTGTCCTCTCCTCCTGGACCTCCTCTTCGGCTGTATCCGACTCTGGAAGCTCTCCGTTGGTGCCGTCATGCTGCTCTTCCATCTCTCTCCCGGATGACAGGTGGCCGTTGCGATGGATGTATGGAGTTGGATCCAGGGGATCTGATGAGGAAAGGCTCTTTGGGTTCAGCATGTCACTCTCTGCATCCTCCATAGCATCATCAAATTGAGACTGCTCCCTCCGTGCCATCATGGAGACAGCACACCTGTACAAAACAAAGTAAGAAAAAAACAATCATTACAAAATGGAAAAATTTACTAGATATCTGATGAACACATCGAGCGGTCAATGACACAAAGACTTAACTCCATTTTGGCCATTTTGAGAAAAAGTGGTTCATGTGTCACTGAGCACTTGGGCCTTAAGGAGTTAAGTCTATGTTTCACTAGCCATTGACTTCAATGGATGTTGGGTGGAGTTAGTCTTTGTGTTTCCTGAAAAGCCCACATTTTCTGAACATTTTGATATCAAATACTCATTTTGGCAAAATATGGAGTTCTTCTTTTGTCACTGAACCCTCGATGTATCATTTCACGTACCGTTAAACTAATGGTACTCTTTAACATTCTTGAAGCCGAGATTTAAAATCAAACCCAAGTGACATATCATCAAAAGAGGAAATTTGCTGATAAAAAAAAATTACAATCATGTCTGCTTGAGATTTACAACAGAAAGATGACAGAGATCAACTTCTCTTTCAATATACTAAGCAGGTATTCTTATTAGAATTTCTAATTTGTTTGTATCACATTAAGATTCAAGCAATATTCATATTCTTTCATTTTCACTTTAGAATATTAAACAGTTCTTTTAAATACCAGAAGTATGACATTTTCATGAAATAAACATCATACATACATTACAGCATGAATATAATAACTTGGATTGTTACCATACATAGAAATGCACTAAAAGTAATTATACATAGATCAATAAAATGCGACACAAATGAATGCCCCAGTAGGGAAGAAAAAGTGACAGTTCTAACCAATCGCTAGATATAAAGGTTGAAGTCTGCACCTTCCTGGCTAATTAATGATTTACTCTGCTGAGTAATTTCATATCCACACAGCCCTGAGTGACATCTGAGATGACACTGAACAATATTGTATGGTATCCCAAATTCACACCCTGTTCAGATGGGAAAATCTATATGCTTGTGCAATAAATCCATAACTAGATGATTTTTGATCAAATTAGCTTTAGACTAGGGCTACTAACAGGATTTTAGTGCACAGTCTTAAAGATATTAAATATGGAAACTCCAAAATTTCCAAATTAAGCAGGGGGTCAATGCATACATTCATATCAACACTAAAAATCAGAATCCCTGAGAATATAGAACTTTTTTCAGACTCAAACATCATACATCAAGACATCTTAGAGCAAAACATGCGGTAAAAGAAATGTTTGGGCAATGTTTCATACAAGAACTATTGTGGACAAAGCACATAAACATCCTATCATACAAATAATGTACAGCTAGGCTGAGCTCTCATAGTATGAGCAGCACATACTGTTCATGACCCAACTCCACCAGAAGAACCTACAAACAGTAGGCAGTACACAATTGTGCACTCCTACAAAAAAAAAACGAGCTCCTCTAATCGTTTCTTTATAGTTTTCTAAAGACAATGTTTTTGCTCATGTAAATGGGCCTGATGGTGATGATCCTTAATCAAAGGTCAAACATGCCCATTCCTACATGTCAAAACATATTTCGGTGTGAATTACAAAACATGCTGCATACATTTTGCCACTTGCCTTGTGAGAAATGGTAGAAAGCCATAGAGAGGAATCAATTTCTAGGCAACAGTAGACCTGTCCTCATCAGCTCGAATTTGCCAAATAACCCACTATCCCGATCCCAAAATAACCAGTAAAATTGCGTCCTCATCAGCCCCAGTTGCAATTTAAGCAGGATATTTGGTCGAAAAAATATCTGAGAAATCTTGGTCTTGTTACCAAAATATTCCACTATTTAAGAAATAGTGGTCTAGTTTGCGCCCATCTGAGCTAGTTTGTGATGAGCATATCAGTCTGGTGAAGCCGCAATTTTGAGCTTCAGGATAATATCCAGAGTCTGAAAATAGCGGGTTATTTGGCAAACTTGAGCTGATGAAAACAGGCCTAGTGATCTTGACAAGGAGCCCATCTACATGTACATGCAAGGAGACGGTGAATGACGTACAGCAGCAGCTGATGAGCCCAAGGTAGCTCTCATCATTCTCAAACATCAATAGATACCTTATAAATGTATTCATGAATTGGCACCAATTTATCTGCAAGAACAAATCCAGGAATACAAACCCTCACACAATCTACGGTCATCTTCACAATTAAACCTTGTGTCTATTTCTGTGTCAACTCTTTCTTATGGTCATCGCTCTTTTTGCAAAGCTTCTGCTGAACTTTGGAACAAACTACCTTTACATGTCAAAAACTGTCAGACTGTCAATCAATTCAAAACTTGTCTTAAGTCACAGTTATTCAAAATTACTTTTGATGATTAACTTTCTCTGTTCACATTGGTGTAATATTTCATATGTATTGTAATTTTTTTTTTTTAAATTTAGGTTTATTTGTAAACATTTCATGCTTATATCTCCTATTATTTTAATCATTAATCAAATAATTAATTCTCAAAATTATTTAAAACCCTTTATTTAAACCAGAATTTGTCCATGGTTAGATTCTAATTTCCTCTCCCCCCCCCCTTAAAATTGAAAAAAATATATAAATTGAGGCAAGAAATATGAGTTCTGTATACTATAGGCATTGAATACATTATGATTAGTCTTTAATAGGTGAGACCCAGAGATGTTCCTCATAAATGTGCATTCTAGATCATATTGACCAAGGTGTCTTCTCCAAAAAACGAAGACGTGCCACATCTCCTTTGAAAATGAAGAAAGACACACCATTTTACTTCAAAACCATTCTAGGGCTTGAAATCAGGTCACTCCAGGAAACACTAGACCTCTGCAAAATCAGACTGATGGATCAAAACAAAAATCCAATAGAAGACGTGGGCCAACATATGACATTTAATTTCTCTGCACAGATTCTTCAACATACAAAGCACATTGACACAACCCTACCCGTACAACTCCCAACACCATTCTATTAACGCGTGCATGTAGAGCACAGCATCCATGTACAATGTATTACATTATAATAATGCCATAGAAATTATAAAAAGTCAAATTCAGAAGGCAATTATTATTGCTACGCTACAAATATGTGACATAAATGCATACATCCTTCAAACAAAACTTGAATTTGTCATACTATTGCCCTCTATTCATAATTTTCCCCCTATTTTTCCCTCCACTGGGATTTTATTGACTTTCATTTGCAACAAATTAAGACATATATATCCAAGGTAATTTACATTTATAACATGAATAAAATTGATTACTCAAGATACAAGTATTGTTGAACTGTTGAGTTAACAGAAAACTAACAAATTTTCAATAATGTATTTCTGATATTCATAATGAATTATATTAATCATATATCGTCCTTTTTGAGCCCAAAAGGCATTCACTCATATTTTAAATGTATAACATAGAGTTAATTTCCTTCTGGCTCTGAACAATTAAAGCTAAAGACCAGTTATGGTCATGCGATTGCATTGTGAAAGAAACGTTGTGGAATCAATCATAAAAGGTTGATCATCTAGCATCTAGCATCTGCAAGGTTCTGGAATCATCAAAATTGTAAGAAATTTGGCCCATTCTTCGTAAAGTTACAAGCACTATACACAGAAAGATGTATATGGGACTACCCTATATCTCTCACAGACCATGAGAGAAACAAATTTACCAAATATACGAATTAGTAGGCGGTTTCCCAGCAAATTTGTTATCATCATGTATAAGTCAAAACATATTCTTTCACATGATTGGTAATGAGAGCTTCCATTTCATTTTTTGAAATTGGGGCATTTCCAATACTGGTCTTTACCTTTAATGGAATTAAATTTATCACTAAATTATTCATGAATAATTTAAGGGCAATTTTAGCTTTCACACCAAAATATATTTTTAAAAAAACTTAAGCCAAACCTGATCACGATTTCTACAAAAAGAAAGTGGCAAATATTGAAAGATAAAACTTGGAACCACTAGATAAGTAGGATCCAATCAATGAATATTGGGCAAAGGAATTTCTGATAATCATTTCCAAAATGGAAAAAAATAATATGTGGTGAAATATGCTGGAACTGCAATGGTTTGACAGGAAGATAAATATGCATTGTTCGATTCCAATCAATCATACGCGAAAGACAAATAGAAATATCACCTCTAATATTTCTAACCTCCCTTCTCTTGATAAAGCCAGCTTGAGGGGTAGAGGAGTTCTCACCTTGAGCCTACATATTCAGAGGGTCTTCACACTTTCATCAAGGTGTGAAATTACTTGTCAATGATGCATTGACACTCACCTAGCTGTCTCCTGCATCTTACAAACTCTCTCTCTCTCCCCCTCTCTGTCTGTCTGTCTCTCTCTCGCTCTCTCTGTGTATCTCTCTTTCTCTGAGTGTGTCTGTCTATCTCTCTCTCTGTCTTTACCTTTTTATATATATATATGTCTCTCTCCCTCCCTACCTCTCTCTATCTCTCTCTCCTTCTTCATCTCTGTTCCCCGTTCTTCCCCTTTCACTCCATCCCTCCCTTTCTATCATTCTCATCACTTGATTTCCTTTTACCTACTCCTATGTTTTTCTATTCCACTCTCTCTATTCATCCATACTTCTCTCTCTCTCTCTCTCTCTCTCTCTCTCTCTCTCTCTCTCCTTATATCTTTGTTCATATCTGCTTCGCACTTAAGGAAAACTATTATTCTTTTTCAGATCATTTGATCCACTATACAAATTTTTCATCTAAGGTACTCATAAAAAAAAGTAAACACACGACCATCAAGATAAATCATTGTGGATCCGTGTTATGAAGCTTTATTACCCCAGCCTGTAATGATTCAATTGTTCTTCACTCATATTTTTACAAAGGTGTTTTTCGATAACTCACATGCCGACCATAAATATCCCGAGGCAGAAGGTGCTTCCGCTCTTAGAATCTAGACAGACTTTCCAGCTTCCCTCATCAGCCCCAATCCCCTTGACTATGAAAAATGATAAGACTTTAAAAAATTGGGCAGACCCGTGCTGTTTACACTGTCAAACATCACCTCGACGTTCTGTTTACCAGACTTCTCGCCTCGGCT